ACCGGGTCCCCAGCGCCGGACGCCTCGACGCACGCGCCCACCACGGCGCACAGACCGTACCTCGAACCTTCGCAAGCCCAGCACCGCGCCAACAGCCCCATGCGACGCCCGCGCTCGGGGTCCCAGGCGTCGAGCGTGACCCTCCCCGCGGAGCACCGCGCGTCTGGGGCGGGGCCGAGCGCCGGCCACTCCCTTTGGCCCGCCCTCCTCGCGTAAGGCGTCTGCGAACGGGCACGGCCAGTCCCAGACCTCGGTGCAGAAGCTTCCGCCAATACGCAGCCCGCTCACGGGAGTAAAGCCCGCCCCTTGCGTCGTCTTGGCCTATGGAAGGCCGGATCTGCTTAGGCGCGTCTTCACCCTCCTTTGGGGTTGTGGCTGGTGTTCATCTCTGCCGGGCTAGTGGGGGTCGTGAGCGCGGGCGGTACCCGGGCCGGCGCGGCGCGGCGCGGCGCGGGCGGCGGGGAGGATGCTGCATTGTTGCACTGGGGGAGGAAGCGCCCGGGCCCCTCCACTCCGTCCCCAGCTGCCTGCGATCGGGGCTTGTACGAGTCGCGAGCAGCCAGCAGAACTAACCGCACTATTGCAAACCACGGTGGTTCTTTTTTGTGGTTTGAAGGCTCCTTTATGGTGCGGAAGGATGTTCCAGTGCGAGCGTGGAAAACGCTTCGTGGAAGGCAGGACAGGAGAGAGTGCTGACTCTCAGAGATTTGCTTTCTAAAAAACGCTTGTTTTAATGGATGAGCTTGCCTTTTAAAAAAGCGCCTGAGACCCTGTTTCTAAGTTTCTTCCCTGTAAGCAGTCTCCTCCTGAGTCGTAACGAAAAGTGTACAAACGTCCCGTGTAGACGTTTGATCATTTGTATCTGGTTGGTGATTAGAAATACGATATTAAAACTTACTGGATGTTTTCCTACTTGCCCCAGCCCTTTCTGTGGAATTGGTAACAGTCCATAATCACGACTTGCTGTTTTTATTATTGTTGTTGTTGTGATGTTGTATTAAAGACAAATGCGGGTTACTTAGTCTTAATTTAGGATTTGAAAACACTATAAAGAAGCAAACCAGTTCCCTAAATCAACTGAGCTCTTGAAGAGTCAAGAGGAGAAAAATTGAAATTGCCGTATGCTATTCTCTGTTCCAAAAAGAAACTTAAAAAGAAGAAAGAAACGTATTAAGAAAAAGTTTCTTTGCTTTTTGCAACAGCTGTCTGTTTTATTTTGCTAACGTGATATGTAATCCATTATTCCAAACGGCAGACCTATATATAGCTGAAACGACCTTGTGTCATATGGGTAATTAATTCCTCTGGGTAATGTTGTTTTGCTTAGGTGGTAATAAGGAAGGAAAATATCCTTTCTTCCTACTTAATTGCTTTTGTTTCATTTCCTCTATATTAATAGTAATAACTCAAGGTGGTGATGGGGTGGCTTTGGTACTGTTTCGTTCAGACATGAACTGTAATGGATGAACCTATTCCTTAAATGAGCATTTGCGTCTTTATACTAGGCACTTCCTGGGTACTGGCGTGTGAGCAAGGTTCCAGCTCTTGTCTAGTGAATACCTTTGAATTCAAGTTGCATGTGGTTAGCTCTTCACTGTGTTATGTATGGATTAGCCATTTTGTGGAACGCCTCTTAAAAACTGAAATTCCTGTTGGCCTTGTCAGTCCCTTTTTTTCTGTTTTTTGGGTCATTTTTGTCTTATGATTCACTATGTATTAGAACAGTTCAGGTCATGTTAATTATACAGTAGTCTAAATGCCAATTCTTGCATATTCTTTACCACATGAATATTTGAAGAATATTTTCCTCACAAAGATCCTATGATTTCTGCCCCCTTATAGATAAAACAACTTTCCAGAGCAGGATTTTAGTCTTGCTAGGGAAAGCAACCGTATTAAAGGGACAGATAATGCCTACTTTCTACCCTCATGCCTCCACGCCTTGCCTCTGTCTTCCACAACTCAGAGGATCAGAGATGATTTATCTACACACACACACACACACACACACACACACACACACACACACACACGGCCTTTTGCCTCCACCCTTCACCTCCCTCCACCATCCTCTTCCTTCACAGTCATGCTCACATTTACACGTACACTGTGTCTCATTGTACACTTGGCCAGCCTCGAATGCCTGCACATCCTAAAGCATGTCGTCTCTTGGGTCTTTTTGTTTTCCTTTGTTCTGATTGCCTGGAGTCACCTCTCAGCCCCAGACTCCCCTGTTGCTGTCATTCCAGTCCCTGAAAACCTAATTTAAATTCCCCAAAGCTCTAGCTCCTCTCCCTTATCTCTAACTTCTTCTAGTACTGTCTCCTTCCTCATTCTGCTCTAACCACACTAGCCGGCTTGCTGTTCCTTACACATAATAAGCATCTTTGCACTTTTGGACCCTTGTTCTTGCTTTCTCCTCTGTTCTGAGTACCTTTTCCGAGACAGCTACTTAGCTTTTTTTCTCCTCTCTTTCACACACTCTGCATCTTTTTTTTTTCATATTTTTTTCTTTGTACTTCTCACCAACATGATGTTTTACTTGTTTTTTTCCTACCTGTCTTGGTCCACCAAAGTACTCCAGGAAGGTAGAGATTTTTATCTGCGTTGTTCACTACCCTGCCTAGAATTACACCTGGCACAGTGTATGTGCTTTCTAAAATTTATGAATAAATAAATGACTCTCAGTAATTTTGACACCTAGCTCTCTAAGCATCTGTCTTTGACATCACAACAGTTAAATTAAACTTTAATAGTCTGTGTATTCCTGGAATGCTTTTTATGATAATACCTTGCATGTGTTTTTATTATTAATGTCAATAATTTGAGTTATTTGGAAAATATCTTTGAAAAACTATTTCATAGCATGTCCTTTTTCAGTAACCTAAGTGCTAAGGAATTTTGTCAACTTATGTTTACTTCTTAATATGCCTAAAAATATGTAACATTCAGTGCTGAACTTTTTAAACTTCAGGCAATTACAGTGATTTTGCTATTTACAATTGTGTTTGGGATAAGTGTTCAACCCATAATACAAACTAGTAAAATAATTACAGTGACAAAGAGTAAAACTAAATTAGTCGCTGTGTTCAATATGATCCTCACTTTTTAAAAATTTTTTACATCTAAGAAATATTAGCAGTCATTATTCAAAACCACAGATTCCCCTGAAACTCTTATCTTTCCTTAGAACGTCCTAAGCAAGGAAAACTCGATCTTAAACTAGCTGTCTCTGACAAAAGACAAGAAACGTAAAGACTGGTTTAGACAAATGGACTCAACCATTGAGGGCTAGAGCAGGAAATGGAGGAAGGGAAAGAAACACAGAGGAAATGTGGTAGAGTACAGATGAAGGATTAAATTTCAACTAAGCAAATTTTATTTGTAATTACTATAAATTTCTAAATCTGCCAACAAGAAGGGGAAATCTAAAGTTTAATTTCTCTGCTATGTTCTGACCACAGTAATCCAGAGCAATTATAATTATCATGATAAAAGTTCACAATAGTACAAGCCATTTGGGCAGTCTTTCTCCAGTTTTGTACCAAAATTGTTTCCAGTCTAGATTCCAGAGAAGTTCTAGAAATCTTTTTTTAACCTTTTGTGAGATGTGTATTTTATTTGTTTGTTTTTGTTTTTGTTTTTTTCCAGTACCGAGAATCAAACTCACAACATCGCACTTGCCAGGCAGGTGCTGTGACGCTGAGCTAAATCCCCAGCCCCAAGATGTGTACTTTAGATGTATATTTTTACAACTTTTATTGCTTTTATTGATTCATTGCAAAAGTATGGTATATTTAGTCACAGGGCAGGGTTATCTCTTGTGTGTGCTGTAGCTTATTAAACACTTGTTGAATGACATTAGAAACTTACCTAGAAATAAACACTGTTAATAATTTAATATGATATGTTACAGGCTTTTTTCCTATTTTTAAGTCAAAGTATTTCCCAAATGGCTTTTAAACTTAATTTATTGCTGGAATCATAATATAGTACCTTTTTTTATTTGATTGGTAGATAGGTCAGCTCTCTGTCACATGGTCAAGTACTAGAGGAAAGATTTATTTTGGCTTTATGGTTTCAGAGATTTCAGTCCATAGTCATCCGGCTCCATTGCTTTTAATCCTGGGGTAAGACAGAAACACAGTGACAGAAGGGGGAAAACTTGTTCTCTTCATGGCAGCCAGGAAGCAGAGAGAGAAGGAAAAAGCAGGGAAAAAAACTGCACCCTTCAAAGTCATGTCCCCAGTGAGCTGCTTTGTCTAGTTAGGCACTGCTTCCTAGTAGCCATTCTGTGCTGTCATCAATAGGTTAATCCACTGGTCAGTGTAGCACCACCCGCAATCCAGTCACCCCTCTGGGCAGCTGTTAATCTAGTCAAGTTGACAGTC